TAGTGTATCACTTTATTTTCTAAATTTTTAGCTATATATATATATATATATATCTCTCTCTCTCTCATTGAATTTTTTTTTTTTTTTTGTGGTTGATCCAGGGACTGCAATATGCTTCTTTGATTTAATCATAGTTTATTTTAGGCTAGCAGTCTCTTAATTCTGGTAAATTATAGGAATTATGTCTAGCATAGCTGTATTTTGTCATTTCTGTGCTATTATTGTCAACTATATTTCATCTAGATTTGTTAAAAATTCAAAAATACTGTGTAATATTATCCATCAATTATGTGTTGCTTATGCAAATTTAATAAACAAATTTAATAATGTTTAATGGTAACGACTTTGAATTGTTTTATTTTTGTGAGGGTAATTGTTTCTTTTTTTTAAACTTAAATGAAAAAATCTCTTTCAAAATATGCTGTCACTGATATGTCTGCTCAGTTTTTTTTTTTAAATTTTTATTTTTATTTTTAATTATAGTTCTCAAAAGGTCACACATGTGACTATGTTTAGTTTTTAGCCAATAATGTGCACAAATTTGGATAACACATTCATGCCTCAAGGCTTTCCTTCTCTGTGAACTCAATTATATAATTATATGTACCTGGAGAAATTTATTCAAAGTTGCAGCCAATTCTCAAGTCTTCATTGGCTTTTTTCTTTTTCTTTTTTTTTCCAGAATCTCTCAGATCTCTCTCAAGCATTTATAATTTAAAGTTAGCTCAGGATATACAGAGAACTTATTTAAGAACTTCTATACTACTCTCACTTCCACAATTTCTAAATTAATTTCTACTTGTTCTGCTGCATGTCCTGCCCTAAAAAACAGAGCTGTGGCTTCTGAGCTAGTTTTTCCTCACTGAGCCATGAAATCCATGGGTCACTCTACTTCTTCTCAGATTAAACCCTCCACCTCTGGTGACAAAGCTGCTGGTTTTGTGACTAGCCATAAAGGAGTAAATACATAGTGTTCACCCGAAGGGCTGGGAGTAGGGAAAATGGGAGCCATTGTAAGCAAGAAGTACATTAACTTCATTCTTGCCCAATGACGTAGCAGTTTATCAAGGAGGAATCCTCTTCAGTTGTTGCCAGCCTATGCTTAACTTTGCTGTTTAAGTTTCATTGAATTCGTTGTTTTTGGAAATAGGTAAAGTTCATGTCTTCCTGAGCTGTTCAACAATGACCATCTAATGTTATCAAGTTAGCAACAAATCAATAGGTAGATATAAGGAAAGTGACACTCGGAGATACTAAAGGCATCTTGAATGTATTTTAGCCTTTGGGTTCTATAGGAATTTTCTGAAAGCTGTTGACCTTTTGAGCAAACATTGCAAAATAATAATTCTGTGCATAGGTTCTAAGAGTTAGTTATCTGAAGTGACACCAAAAATTACCAATGGATTTAAACAATAAGAATTGCAGAAAGTATGTGATCAACAAAAAGAACTGTAATTTGAATAGCAATAATGACTAGACATAGAAGACTTTAGGATTCAAAAGTGCTGGCCTATTTATCATCCCATCTTTGAGAGACAATACTGGAAGTCTCCATTATCTAATTAATATAAAAATGAAGGCAAATTCTTGACTTTAGGGTATCATTTATAAATGTAGGGAAATATTTTTAATATATAGTTTGAGAGTCTTTTGTAGTCTCAAGTAAAAATACAAAAAGACAAAAGATCGTGATATTTTAGAGTAGGTGTGACCTGAGGAGATGAATTTTAAAATAATTTTGAAACAAACAAAAGAAAATTTAAAAAAATTTAGTATCGATCATAGCTTTGCTTTGAACTACTACATCACTGGGGAAAGGCAAAATCAACGGGTGTGTGTCCAACAACTGAAGGGAAAGTGGAAGTAAATCATAGGAATGTCAGTTCTTAGATTATGTAAACCTGAGTAACTAAAAATACTCAATTTGTCCAATGATCAAACCCTTTCTAGAATGAGCAGGCTAAGTCAACTTTTTTGAATTCTATGAAGTCTGGACTTCCTGGAGTGGTTTGCCTGATTCTTTAAACTGCCTTATCACACTTTGTCAAACTGCAAGACAATTAGGTTGTCTTTTATGTTTTAAAAAGTTAAGATTGATAAAAATTAACTTGTTTGTAATTAAAATATTAAGTTAAATTAGACTAATCCAATTTTCATAACATCATACAAACATAAGCTTCTCAAAGTGGAAAGTCATGTTTCCATTAGATGTTGGTTTCAGCTAAGCATAAACAACTAAAATGAATTTAAAAAGCTTGCTGTCATTTGTTCAGTTCGCTGGGATTCATTTTTATCCAGTGCAAATAAAGTTGAAATTCATACAATTACCCAAAACATTTTCAAATGATCTGGTATGGTCTAGATTGGCGCAAGAGAGTCCTGGAAATAAGCCACAGCTATGACCCTTGGAAGTTTTATTTTTTGACAATTTTTAAACCTCATTATAACTTAGTTCCCTAATATAAATGTGAATGATAGTACTTACGTTCTAGAGTTATTTTACAAATTCCTAAGATAATTTATTTGATTCATGAACTACATATTGGACATTTAACAAGCATTGGGTTTATTTCTCCTTCCCCTTTGCCACTAAGAACCCAGAACTATGAGAAAAGCTGGTGAAATGCTTAACGAGATGCCATGTTTCAAAAATTAGAAATGGACAAATAAGACAAAACTAAAGTTACTTGCAGAGTCTGCAAAAGGTGACTGGAACTACATATGCAGTCTCTTTAGACTTGGACTAGAATCGAGTGATTGAAACTATACACCAGTAGCTATGTGATCTTTATGTGAGTGGGGACGTATCAATCATAGTGCCTGCTATTTCAGCAGGAGCTAATATATAAAATTTTTAATTTAAGATTTATTTTGGCCGGGCGCGGTGGCTTTACGCCTGTAATCCCAGCACTTGCGGAGGCTGAGGCGGGCAGATCACGAGGTCAGGAGATCCAGACCATCCTGGCTAACACCGTGAAACCCCGTTCTCTACTAAAAATACAAAAAATTAGCTGGGCATGGTGGCGGGCGCCTATAATCCCAGGTACTCGGGAAGCTGAGGCAGGAGAATGGCGTGAACCCAGGAGGTGGAGCTTGCAGTGGGCCGAGATCTTGCCAGTGCACTCCAGCCTGGGCGACTGAGAGAGACTCCGTCTCAAAAAAAAAAAAAAAAAAAAAACAGAATATGAATTTCTATAAAACGCAAACACTGATATATTTGTATTTGCAATGAAAAAATACTTTGCACATAATAATTTTAAAAATCAACATTTTACTGATTTGTTTTCAAGCTCAACACCACTCTTTCCAGAGATTACTTTTGTTTGCTTTGCCCGACTAAAGGGATACAGAGACTAAAGTCTGAGGAGCACTTCCTCACATGACATGGGATACTTTTCCGGTAATAATGATATCAAGAAACTAAAGTTTTAAAACAAGAGGGCAGAGTGGGGAAACACCTGACTTTTTGCTATGTTCGAGGAAAGAATTTGGATCTGTATGAATTGATAGCTGTAGTTTAAAGACTACATTTAAGGATTAAGGTGTAAAACGGGGTAAAGGAATACTGGTCTGCGTTCTAAGCGAATGTGGCTAAGGAGTCTTTGAGAGAACCTTTTTAATTTTTTCTTTAGACGGAGTCTCGCTGTGTAGCTCATGCTGGTCTCTAACCCCTAGGCTCAAGCTGTACTCCCACCTCAATCTCTCGAGTAGCTGGGACTATAGGCTCTCCACCTCACCCAGCTGATTTTTT